TATGTTAAAGATAAACATTTGCAATGAAAAAAAAGGATTGGAGGAGCTTATTTTCTCCTTAAAGCACTCGTAAGCAAACAAGAATAATTAAGTGGGATGCTTATAAGTCAACTTTAAGTAGAGCCCAACACCCCCGAATGAAGTCCATGTTTACATAATCCAGAGCTTATTACACACAGGAGAAAAGAAATCCATAACTTACATTAGGTTTTTCTAAGTTTGGGGTAAAGTCACGTATAAACGCAATGCATTTGTGTAGATCTGTTGTGTCCTGATCATGAGATGCATCTATAACCTTGGTTCCCTGCACTCAAGTGAGTGAATAAAGACATCATAACATGCTTAAAAGCTACAGAAATGTATACAAAAGGGAGTATTAATGGCAGCCCCATAGCCATATTTCCTAAGCTTTTCAACTAAGACATCATCTAAATGGCACTGCAAGAGAAAATGTTACTGACCAAGCTTACATAAAAATCGAGTACTTCTGTCCGAATTGAGTCCATGTCTCCTTTGATAACATCTGGCTTATACCTGGTCAAGCCAAGAGTTTGTAGATGATTAATTTAAGAAAGATGCTGTCAATGAAACAGGAAACAAAATTCTGTGTGTCATGAACAAAGGTAAAACACACAAATCTAAAAAAGAAAATCATAATTTAATGATGTGCCTTCACCTTCGGATTTCCACTCACCCGGTCTGCCATTCAAGCAGGGTGAGGCTTAAGCAACATTAATCTCATCATAGGACATGCTATTACAAGCTTAGTTTATTGCCTCTTCTTTTCCTCAAATAACATGAAAAGGCTATTTTCATGATAGCTTCTTAAAAAGATGGTGATTTTCCAATAACAGTATTGGTTTGCAATAGAAATGATATTATTGCATGCTAATCTCAGTAAAGATGGTCTAGAACTTACTAAAGCTATTCTTCCCACCAGGAGATTACTTTGTGGGATTAAAATCTAAATGACGAGTTCCTTTTTCTAATCCATCATCTATATCACTGGAGCTACCCAGCTCCAGGAGTCCTCTAGATGACTGGAGATATCTTTGAAGTTAGCAATGTACACATTTGGTAGGTCAAAAGGTGGACATTCTCACTCCTTTATCCAGTCACAGTTACAAGAATGAATCGCAAAATAAGTTGAGGATCATAGCAAAGTTTAGATCTAAGGGAAATCAGTGCCCATCATATGAGGTTCCTCGACATGACAGTCAATAGGAACAAAGTTCAAAAGTAGACCAACTACTCAAAGTAAACCCATTATTCGACTTCCACAAGAAGAAGACAACTCCAGGCATGTTAACAATAAGTTCATACTATCTTAAGTCCAGACTTGGCTGTTAACAAGTAAAAGAAACAGAGAGATATGACGCCAACTGGAAAACAGAAGTTCCCGTGAAAGGTTTGACTTAAAGAACTCTTCCTTCTCTTTTGAGGTAGACACAAGCTAATTTACATTATCCATCAGAAAAGCTCCAAAAGGAACCATTACAAATACTTACTTTGTTGCAGAATAAAATAAATTCCAGAAGCTGAATTCTGATGAAACAAACAAACACA